TATTTCAGGGAAGATTTTATTCCTAAAATAGTTATTAATTAATAGGAGATTTTATCCCTAAAACAGTTATTTAACATTTTTTAAATGATGATATTAAGATCACGAGGATCTTAAAGACAGAAAACTGCCCAATAAAATATTTATTCATTTGTTTATATTATATATAAACTGTTTGAATGGTATTTCGATATATTTATCTATTTCCTTCAATGAAGGCAAACCCTCAAGATCTCATGGAACATACAGTTAAACGGTTGATTGTGATGCAACAAGCTGAAATGATCGAATACTTGGATTCAAACGACCTGAAAAATGTAGAATTGATTCTTCTCACTACATGGGGATTAGATGGATCTTCTGGGCACTCGCAATACCACCAACACTTTCCAAGTTGTAGTCAGAAGCAAGCACTAACAGATGAAGATTTATTAGCTACTGCCACAACACCAATTCGGCTTTCACTGAGCAATGATTCGAACAAAATCTTTTGGTTCAATCAAATGCCTCAGAGCGTCCGGTTTTGTCAACCAATAATATTGGAGTTTATAAAAGAGAGCAAAGAAGTTGTACTTAAAATGAAAGAGGAAGTTGAATTATAATTCAGCAATCTTAAGCCAGTTCAAGTTGAATTATCTGACGAAAAATCAGTCACAGTTTTATTCGACTTCGTTATGAGTATGATTGATGGAAAAATTTTGACCTTTATAACCGGCACGTCTTCAATGCAATGTTGCCCTATTTGTGGTGCATCGCCAAATAAAATGAACGATGAAAGTGAATTTGAAAAAGGATTCTCGTCAAGGTTGGAGACATTGCAGTATGGAATTTCACCATTAGGGGAGGACAGTACATAACGCACCCCCGGGGTAAGACGCACTTTTTCATTTTATTTTGAGTTTTTCTTGGAATTTTTAATCCAATTCAAGGATTTATCATGCAGGATTTTGAGTTTAGATGCTATGCTAGAAGTGCTGCTTGATAAGACAACAAAAAAGTTACGTAAAAGCTATGAAAAACACAAATGAAAGTCAGTTGGTGCGTTCTGCCCAGGGGGTGCGTTGTATACCAATCTCCCCTACTCGCCTGGATGAGGTTTTTGGAATGCTTACTTCACATTTCATACAGAATTCAATTCAAGCAATGGCGGGTCACAAAAGAGTTTAGAGAGGTGTATCAAAAACGAAAACAAGAAGTTACAAAGAAGCTCTACGAATCATTTGGCGTGCGGGTTGATGAGCCAAGAGCAGGAGGATCGGGAAACAGCACAACCGGGAATGTTTGTCGAAGACTTTTCTCGGATACTGAACTGCTTAGCAGCATTCTGGAAATAGACCATGACTTGGTTGTCAGATTCAGAAATATATTGATTACTATCAACTGTCAACAACCAGTAAACCCGCAAAAAGTAGACGTATATGCTCGAGAAACATACCGCCATTACCTTCGCTGTTATGCATGGTACAAAATTCCAGCATCGGTACACAAAGTACTTGCACATTGCGGAGAAATTATAATTTATTCTCCTGCACCTGTTGGCATGATAGGAGAAGAGGCTTCCGAATGTCGTAACAAATTTTATCGAAGAGATCGAGAAATTCATGCTAGGAAAACATCACGGGAAGATAACTTATATGATGCCTTCATTCGTCCAATGAGTTCTTCAGATCCGTTGATAAGTTCAATTTCGATTGGTACGGATAAAGTAAACAACATCCTGACAACATATTGATACAATTTTCCTTCCAGGAAAGAGGCTCAACTGCCAGAAATTGTGAAGAATTTCCTTGTATTCGATGATCCCGACAGCTATGGAGCAACAAATGTGGAGAACAACTCTGAAGAAAGAAACACGAAATAATGGAATATGTAGCAGACTTAAACGAAGATTTTGCAGAAGATTTCGATTTCAAGACCACAGTTTCTGATAACGTTAATGAAAATATGATTTAATCTTCTTTATGCTTCATGAAACTTTTATTAAATCTTTCCCTTGTGCATTTTTTATTATTCTTTGTTATTTTTTTATAACTCTGTTCAATACACAAAAATGCTATCTATTACAACATACTTATTCTAACATTTTCAATTTGTTTTATATGTTTGAGATTTGACTGGTTCATTTATTCATTAATGAAAAGGAAAAGTTCAGAATATTTTATAATAACTATTGCCTTTACCTTTTTGATCATACTTTGTCAACGTATTTGTTCGCTAATACACGGTAAGCTAAGGTAAAAAAGTTCGGTAGAGGTACTGATTTGATAAGATGCATAGGATATTTATGAATTGTAATTTGCGACGTATTATTTAAGGGACTAGTTTAAATAGTCCGTAACGCTAAACATTGAGTGCTGGTTTACCTTCCAATCCCTCATCAAGCACTTTTTCTTTGTGTAATACATTTGTACCGTTATTTCCGGGGGTAATCGTGGGCGTATCTTCTCTGACGATACGTAATATTTGAATAGGCTCTAAATTTTACAAAAAAAGTGTTTTTTCACATTCATTGACAAAATACGGGCATCAAACTATCAATGAGCTGTTGAAAACATTTATATCTCCAGACATGGATATTTCCAGTGGTAAGCCTGATTGCCTCTCACCCCAGCAGGCCTGGGTTCAATCCCAGTCGGCGCCGCCGGGATGTTCAGGGAAGTAAAGCCATTGTCCCCGGTTCATGAGTTGATGGGTCGATAAGTAGGGTCCAGCATAGACGTAACCAGATAGGGGCAGGGGGGGGTCAACTGCCCCCCCCCTAAACTCGGCAACACAAAGGCTTTCGAGGAAATGGCGTTCGGTGAAATGGCATTCGGCCAAATTTTCCATGGTAATTTTTTTTTCGCCCCCCCCTAGCTCGAAACCTGGCTACGCCCTTGGGTCCAGGTGTGGGAGTTGCTCCTTGGCGTCGGTGGCATTGGTGCTCAGCACGGAAAACAAGATCGACGGAAAACAAATCCAAGGAAAAAAAATGATATTTTCATAAATACTGATGAAGACGTACTTTACCCTACTAAACCTAATTTTAACCATTTCACTGAAGAGTTATGAGTTATAAAATGCTATCGCACACATCAAGGGTAACAAAAAAACAGTTCTAAAGATCGACATATTTTTGCCACCTATTTGTATGGGAACTTCCCATATTGGGTCCCTTTCATCCAATGAATACCCCCCGTATACAAAGTAATTTTGTGGTTTTGCTGCCCCCTCAGTTGAGATGAAATTTTGCGCTCATTTTTATCAAAACAAACACACCAAAATCAGAGATGTCCCATTTTTTAATTATTCGATTAACAACTAATCGATTATTTTTTGTTCGCTGTGCTGCCATTTTTCCACCAATGAGAGTGCAGCACATGTTTGAAGCGATCGGTGATGATCCTCTGGAGATGTTAATGCTTATATCGGCACGATATAACCGATTACAAATATTTTACTTTTCGGTTAGTTAATCGGTTAATCAATTATTCGAATAAAAATCGGTCGTCACTAGATGAATGTGAAACGTCATTTCAAATATAAGGACCGTACATAAATAATGATACAATTTGAAAGGGACCGTGGCTAATCACAAATTACGTCCCCACGGTAACTGAAATAAACACGAGTGTTCACCGGTTGGTATACCTATGCTTAAAAAGAGTAAACGGAGTAGGCAGAGAAAATATTGAGGTACATTGAGTTACTCGCGAGTTACTCGCTGCAAAAAAGCAACTCAGAGTAAACCTGTCTCACCCCTTGCTGCAAACCTTGGGTCAAGATTCAGGAAGTTGTGGTTGGAGCAAACGACGCCTGAAGCAACGAAAATGGGAGGTAATTGATAACTATCACTTAATGCACTTTTCAACACCACTTCAGTAGTTATAATTAAAAACGACGCAGCCAAACAAAAACACGTCATTTTTGCAACGTGGCCTATTTTGATCTCTTTGAAATTTGTTTTAGGAAAATCAATTCATTTATCGAGAAAGTGTTCATATCTACTGCATGTTGAAAGGACGCTATTTTAAGATTGAATTTTCAAATAGACGTATCTGCTTCTGTAAGCCAATATTCAAACGACAATTGGTCTAAACCTCTACCATACCTGAAGGTGGTGTTAGTTTGCATTGAAGGGCTGAGAGTTGTGAAAAATTGACGATTGAATATGTGTGCCGTAATGAAAATAACCATCAGAAGGAGCTTAATGACAAGCCCGGGGTATCATCCAAACCATGTGTGGGATAGTTCTGCCATCCGGGTTACCGTTCGTTTATTGTATTTGTCTATTAGGGGTTGCAAAAACATATTAGTCTGTGTGAAATTCATTCTTGCTTTGCACTTTTTTGATGCGTTGGTTTGTTAATTAATTTCCATTCATATTCATTCCCTCACAACCGAGCTAGCCTTGGACGCACGTCGGGGAACTGATATTGAGGACCATAATTACATGAATCAGATATATATAAGACAAAGACTCTTGTCACAGATAGGTGAATTAATCAGGTTCTTTTTTGATATTGAAGAGCTCAATTACTATGGAAGTGGTTTAAGAGCTATACATTAAATTTAAAAATCAAACAAGAATGCAATAGTCAGAAAATTAAAGATAAAGAAGCTAATATAAAATGCTTATAAAGTATTCTCACTCAAAAAAAAAATCAATAATGCATAGTTTTTTTAAGCTTCAGACATAACGTGCCTGCATGAGATTCTTGAAATAATATATAATGATTTATTGATAATGTCTTGAAAAAGTCATCTAGATGTGTGTGTATACATATCTAGACAACTTTTTCGAGACATTATCATTCTTGTGACGAACTTGACTCACATTGCCCTATCGATAGAAAAGAATACAATAACGTTTATTCTAAACAAGATTTGAACATCTTAATGTTATCTACCCTTCATTATTGTCCAGGAACGATTCTGAAATTCAGCATACGTCGATTGAAAAGCAATTCTTTAACAATAAACAAAAAACCAACAATCACAACACTATCCACCCAACAAAGTACCGTAAATTTTGAACGCGTAAAACACTTTAATATCCCGCGGTGCCTGCTCGCTGAACACCGAAAGCAGGTCCAGAAAATCCTCAAAGGTCAAATTTCCATCTCCATCCCGAGAGAAGGCCTCGCACATCCGGGTCTTGAACGGGTTTTCCACCAACTCCGGCGACTTTTCGATCCTCTCCCGCGGCACCTGGATGGACGTCGCCTGGCCCTCGGTCATCACCGGCGGAACCAAGTCCGGACTCGTCTCCCGGAAGCGCTGGTGCACTCTTAAAATCTCCTTCCGCGTGAAGAACGTACAATCCTGATAGTCCTCCAACTGTTGATCGGTGAAAGTGACCACTTTGTTACCCATTATCCGTACTTTACACTTTCGCTGCCAGGATGCGACTGCCCGGCTGAGGTCGACAGTGCCCGACCAAATCCATTTACTAAACACTCCCAGAGGAGGTGTTGCATCAGGTGCTGCGGAATTGCCACTCAACTTGTTGGTTCGTCGGTTGGCACTATCAAAGAAATGTATCTCTACAACATTCCACATAGTTTCACGCAACGGAGCAATGGTTATAAAAATATAGAACCAAACAGGGAAGGGACGTGCTTTTCAGACGATAATCACGTGTAGTGTGATAATCGTTGGTTTCGCAGGAAAAAAAAGTGGTAGCCCACCCAGCTAGAGGACGGCGATAACACGCCCACACTTTAATCGAGTGAAGGAAATTAAAGTCAGCATGAAACCTAACACGACGATTATGGTGTCTTCTTGCCAGAGGAGGACACGGCCCCGACACTCCCATGCGTGATGTTTGCTGTTCCGTAACACCATGTCAACTGTGTGGGTGTCCTACTCCTTTCTTGAAGGATAGTATGTTTTGGTAGTGTGATCAATATGTTAGCAGCGCCTATGCAGTGCAATACGTTTGGAGAATTGGGTGCAAACAGCGTCGGTTAAAAATATGAAGCATCCTCCAATTCGTTTTATAACATCAATGGCATCAGTTCGAAAGGAGTTGTCCATCAACTAGATAAAGTATGGCCCACTTAGGAATGGAAGAACATCGTTTGGGTCTATTTTGGATTTGAAAACGGGTTTCACTCAAGTGCATACTATTCCTTATATGTTAAGAAAAACATAGGAAATGAATTATTAGTCGCGGTTTCGAAGGAATTCTCGAACTTTTCCCTTAATACGACCCACCAAGCGGCACACAACGGTCTCGTCCACCGTTTTGATTACTGTACCTTTTACCTTCAGTTTCCTCTTCATAATTCCCCAGTAGTTTTCAATGGGCCTGAACTGGGGACAATTGGGCGGATTGTGGGTTTTCGGAACAAACTGGACGCCGTTGTCATTGTACCATTGATGTACTTCCCGACTGTGGTGACCAAAATGTTACCGGATCATCATGTGACTGGATGAAGGGCAATCGCTTCTGGAGACATTCGGTTTTATAAACCTCCAAGTTCATCATTTCTCTCAGTGACGAAAACCTTTGTCTTCCGGCGGCAGCTTCAAATTCCCTGCCAGTTCATATATGTTCGTGTGAATTTATCCGCGAAAACAAATTTGAATCTCGAGCTTCGCCTTGTAAAATGTTGGTCCTGGAAGCTGTCTGAAGTCGGCCGTTACATAGGTTTCATCATCCATAAGTATGCACCCACCGAACTTGATCAGCAGGTTGTCATACAACTTTCGAGCACGGGCTCTAGCTCTGCTTGAGTGATCCGATTTGGTTGCCTCCCCAACTAACATTTTCAGCTTTGTAAGCCAACTTTTCTAGCGTTGTACTGTAAAATAGCTGAAAAGAAGCTGCAGATACAGCTACAAGCAAAAGCTAGCAAAATAGTTTTGGAGAGCGTTTACTCAACTTTCTCACAACCATTATTCAATTTGTCAGTCGCACTGAATAACATCAGCCAATAAACGCTAATGTCACTTCTATACACACACTAATCAACTTTCAACTTGTAGCGGCAAAACAAAGCTAACAAAGTGAATATGTTACTCATTTGATGGCTTCTACACAACCAACCACTCTTGCTGAATAACATAAACATCAAAAGTGCTTTTTCAACAACTACACAACCTGTATTCAGCTTATAAACTGTGTTAGAGCAACTCCGGAAGCATTTTCACAGTCAACTAGGTTTATTTTTAGACGTATGCAGTTTTACAGCTTTTACTCTGCTCTATTATAAAGCCTGTACTCAGTGATTTTGTTGTAGAAGGGAATGTTGATTTGTTTACATAAGTTCAAAGTGTTGGCGTAGCACAGTTGGTAGTGTCAAGGTTTGCCAATGAGGTCGTCTCGAGTTCGATTCCAGGTTCCTCCGGTGCAGGGTAAATAATTTGGTGATGATTTGTAACTAATTTCGATTAATTTGATCACAGCAAAATAAACTCAATAAATTCCTTCATCAAAAAGCGTAAACAGTATTTAACCCGGCTTCAAGAAAAAGCTGTGTAGTGATTATTGGATAACCGGGAAAAGGTTGAATAAGCGCCTTTCAAGTTCACACACAACTAAACAGCAGGATAACAGCTGTATAGAAGCGTTAATGGATATATAAGAGCTTATCCCGATCGTTCCAACAGCCATAAGTAGCTGAGTAAGTTCGCCAGATTTGCTTGTATAGAGGTTGAGTAAAGGTTTCTTCATATCGTATACGTTTGAATACAGCTTGAGGCTGTATAAATCAAATGAGTAAAGCGTTTACGTTGTGAAAATTGTTAGTTGGGTCCTGGCGCGCTGCACTGTACTACGGGCGACATCATACTTTTTACTCAAATCGCGATCGGACATACGTGGGTTGCTTTTTTTTTTTTTTAATTATAGTCACTTTAACGCTCTTGGGTCATTCGTGACTTTTTCGGGGGTGAGATTTGAACTCGTGACTTTGGCGTGAGAGGTATGGATACTAACCACTACGCCGGGGTCGCCCCCTTACACGTGGGTTGCTTCTGATGGACCTCACCACCTTTCCATGGAGCTGACTGTTGGCAGTTCCACTCCAGACTTCCGATTCGTCGTCAAGGTTTCCCTGTACGTTTTGAGCACGCGCCGTACGGTGTTTCTAGGAACATTCAACACTTTAGCCAGTTTGGACGTGGACCACGATGGATTTCACAGGTTACTGTGCAAGATTTTTTTTTTCTACGTTCCTCTAGGCTGTCTCCAAAACAAGAACGTTTATTGAACTGAAAAAATACACTGTTATTGTTATTGTTGTCAACAAATAGACGTCAAAAGCTTAAAAAAGCGTCTACTAGGAGCGCTATGATAAGCAAAAGAGTTTGTTCCATAACTAAGACTCTGAACCACTCTAAACAAACTATTGGGTAAATTTTGACAGATGGAATGTTATCGATTAATTAGCGGCGCCGGTGGTGTAGTGGTAAGCGTGATTACCTCTCACCCCAGCAGGCCTGGGTTCAATCTCAGTCGGCGCCGCCGGGATGTTCTGAGGCATAACATCTCTGATCACGCCTTCCTTCGGATGGGAAGTAAAGCCGTTGGTCCCCGGTTCATGAGTTGATGGGTCGATAGGTAGGGTCCAGGTGTGGGAGTTGCCTTCCTGGCGTCGGTAGCATTGGTGCTCAGCACGGAAAACAAGATCGGTGGAAAACAAATAAATAAAAAAAAAGTTATCGGTTAACCCTGCTATAAGCGTGGTTATTTCCGACATACAAGAAGTTAAATTTTGACAACCGTGGCTGACTTCTGGTCGAAAACCGATCGATCGGTAACACAGGGATTAACGAACATAAGAAATAACTTTCGAAATTTTAACCACGAGTTAAATTTAACTCGGCAAATGGTTCACAGCCTAAGTGAGCTATGGTTTAGGATAAACATTTACTTCGGCCTAATCGCCCTATAAAACTTGGCCTCTCACGACTATATGGAAAAAGTGTAGCCGACACTGGCCGATCTAGGTTAAGCCTGCGGCTTAAGCGCCACTCCGGTAAAGGAGACCGCAGGCCACGTTGAGTTTGCCCGGATGAGACTGCCTCAGGGCGAGTCCAATTGAGAATCTTCATAGAAAGAAGAGATCGAGCCAGCTTGACTACTACCGAATTTGATCGAGTAGAAACCCCTATTGCGATACAGCATAATCTCTCACAACATCGAAATACTTCTAAAAAGCTCCCGGTAAGAGAATACACAAACCCTAAACGACGTTCCACGTCAAGTTCTCCTCATCGGTAGCTTCACTTAAATTCCGCCAGAGGCGCAGCCGCAGCAAAAGAGGTACGCAACATAACAGTCAAATTCCGACCACGCGGAAGACAACAACATAATTATACGGACCCGAAACAACGTAAAAATACTTTCTTCCTCTCATTCTAATATTTAATAGGACTGATCAACAACATAACATCGATTTCAAATCAAAACATTTATTTACAACGGAAAACGGTAAGTTGATTTTTATTGTATTTAAACTAAAGCATGCTTTTGCGGATTTGTTGTGATTGTTTGTATTTCTACTCCTCTTTATTCTACTTCTCTATACTTCTAGCCCTATACTTGTGTGCGTTCGGTACAACTACTTCCTATCTGTGCTGTGCTCTTTTCTGTCTTCTCAGTTAATCCCACGACGATGCAGCAAGCGGGAAACGACGAAGCTTGGCACCCGGGTGTCTATTATTAATGGGTTGGGTGGGCGTCCATATCTGACGATACGTGCGCACGATTTATTTGCCTACACCCAACCATTAAATCATTGGACTTGTCCACATATTAGCAAAATATGCTCTTCGACCTTATGGTCGGCAAAAAAGGTCCTCCGTGGCGCCCTCGCTGGACGCCACACTCAACAAAGAAATTTGAACGGACTCACCAGTTGGTTTTCGCTGCTGTTGTTTGCTGCGCTGCTGTTATCGGCAGCGACGATGATGTTCGACCGTTGGACGGCCAACGATTTCCACGTGGGTGGACGGCGATCTCTCCAACAATGGCAGTTGGTATCCACCAAGCCCCGATACGCGATGAGAAATTTGATCGCTTTCCACCGGACAAGGTGACGGTTGCCGGGATCTTTCGCCCCGGGAAAGCAGGTGATGTCGTCGGAAGTTGGATGTAGTCGTCGGCTGTTGAAATTAATATTAAGCACAAAGCACAAAGGTTGTTCGACGAGCACATTACCTGGTCTAGATTGTTTTTCAATGCACACAAAGTCTAACCTATGCCGCACACTACATTTAGTTTGATTTGCTATAACTAAACAATCAACGATAAATTAGAATTTAAGTACAAGTAAAACCACGTTGTTTTCACTCACTATACAAAACTATACATTAACGCGAACAAAACGACACACTTCCACTGTAAACTGCGGTTCTGACGAAAGTGAAGCGAAACCGTGACCCTCAGATTAGGGAAGGTGACCTCGGCCGAACTTAACGGAATTTCGATTTTCCCGCGAACTTCTTCGAATGAGATCGGTAAT